GGGGGTAGTAATGGGGGACCCAGTGGAGGAATGGGGGTGTTACAGCCACAGTTTGGAGGGGGTGCCTCTGCCTCTGCACCCTCCTATCCTCCCCCATCTCAACCCCAGTATCCACCTCCCCAGCAAATGTACCCACCACCACAGGTAAGGAATGGCTAGTCAAGTGGTTAACAGTTTCACTTAGTGCAGTTAAACTGCACCCAGTACATTTTTGTGTGCTAGCATTGCTTATAAAAAGAAAAAATACTCATAATGCATTACTGTCGCATTCAACTAGTGTTCAAATTAACACAGTGCTTATTCATAATTAATTAAATTGATAGTATAAGAACATTTCAACCTTTCAAACTACTCAATTTTTCTGTTAAATTGCTACAAATTAAAACTGTTAGTAGTACAAGATCACTTTGGTTAAATATGTAAAATCTGCAATGGCAAACCATGTAGAATACATTTTACAGTAATTTCGATTACCGTATATACTCGCCTATAAGTCGGTCCGCCTATAAGTCAGTTGTACTTATATAAGTAGCTTATATATTATATTTCAGTTGGACTGACCTCATATAAAACCATTCTTTTTATAGCTCACCTATAAGTTGGACACAGAGTACTTTTCGACCTAATATTAACTTAAAAAAACGACTTATAGGCGAGTATATACGGTAACCATAGTGAATGATTCAGCAAGATACCATGTATGCATAATTATTCATCATTTTTTGTTAAAACCAGGAAGGTAAGATGCCACCTCCTTTACCCCAGGCACCGCCCTCAGGAGGGATCGGAGCAGGAGGGTTTGTGGACCCGGCCCATTCAGCACCACCCCCTCAGACTGGTCAGCAGTCTTATAATGACTGGCTAGGTGAGGACCCTAAGAAACAGGTTCACAGTCAACCCCCACCCCCCGCAGGCTTTACCCCGGACGCTTTCCCTGACCTCCCGGCCGTCCCTAACAGTACCCTCCCCGACCCAGGGAATTCAGTGGGTGGAACCTCAGCAGGAGGGGAGGATGTAGACTTTGATGATTTGACTAGAAGGTTTGAACAGTTAAAGAAGAGAAAGTGAACAAGCAATTTTATACTTATTGTAGTCATGTTTTGTATAAATCATCAACTTGCTTGGACTTGTGTATTATGGTAATTTTTGTAATTCTTAGATCTACAAAGCTCTGATGTATGCATACAGTAAAAACCAGCATCATATGAATTCCTACAAGTCATTTCTTTCTTGATTACTGACAGAATTATTATTATGGTATTAATGTGCAATCTTAGAAACCCAAATATTGTGATTATCTGTGAATAATCATTTGAAATGTGTAAATTTGTAGTTTTACACTTTGGTAAAGGATGGAAAGTACTTTGTGTATTTTAAATGTGAATTTATAATAATTGTGAATTGTTATACAGTGTAGTGTGAACTGTAAATAAATAATTTTTTTGTCTACTGCTCTTTTAGATGCATTTGACGTTTTTTGGACTGGTGATATTTTATGTCAATTGCTTAGTATAAGTTGAATCCGCACTTTTCAAAAGTTATGTCCCTTGGCCGCCATTTTTTGGGGCAAAACCCACAGAATCCTCAAAGTAGCTTTTATAGTTTTCTGGTTTGAGGCATACACGTACTGTTTGAGCTGTAGTCTAATACCTCATTCAGTAGTTTACCAGTACTTATTATCTCAAAACGGCTCTTTCATGCCAGATCAAAAGAATGATAAATTATAATTCATAAATGGATGGTTAATCAAGAGAATTAACATGCATTGGATTTCAACTCCATAAAAAGAAAGGCGAGAAATTCTATTTCGAGAGTGATGCTTCTTGCTAAATTGTGCGATAATTAATTCCTCACGTATAATTAGGCATCTACAGTACTCCAGCAAGCTTAGAGGTTCATAGCAAGACACTTTTGACTTGTAACACATGCAAGGAGGGAAGAGGCATTAACTGAGGCTCTTACCTGTGTGTACCAGTACCCTACATAAATACATAACTTTAACTCCAGATTCAGATTTGCTGTTTTCAATGTTGTCTATATTGTAAAAAAAAACTAGAACTGTCCAATAGGGACAAATACCCCCCGCTGGGTTTTTCAGAGAAGGTGCCAATTCACAAATACTTTATGGATCTATAGAGGTGTTCACTATTTACTTACAAAAATTTGCAGTGAAATATAATTGCTCATTATGTTTCTTAATGAATGAAACAAAAGTGCAACCAAATGAAACATCAATATTAATACATCGTAATTCAATTGTAACATTTTTTTTAAATTTCTGCATTAAAGAAATACATGTATATTGCAATTATGTGTTATGACACTCTGCAAAAAGATTGTTGAAAAAAAAATCATTATACAAAATCAAATTAATCTTGATATATCAAGTTCATTTTGAAAATAAAGATCTGGTCATCCAGTAATGAAGTGCTTTGACAGACAATAAATTACAATTAAGAGAATAAGAGAAGAGAGATCTTTAATTCTTGTGCCTTATTCCCTGGAGATTAGATAACACACACGCTTGATAAGAGAAATGCCTTAACAACTTCCAACACCAAACTCATTAATTTATCTTTAACTGGATGCATGTCCAGTCATTATTCCCAAGAGACAAATGAATTTACATTATCTTCTGTGTAATGCAAAAACTGTTTTAAACACTTGATGATGTTTCTGTTTTTTAGTTTTAATGAGTTGTTTTAAGCTGTAGTTCACATTTTGTACAGATATTCTAGATTCTATGTCTCAAACCTTATACATGAGCCCAAAATAAACAAGTCAATTAAAATAAAAATTAAACCTGTAAAATGCAGAAAAAATGGACAAATAAAGTTGAAAATTCCAGGTGCACACCATCATATGGTGAATAATAAGTGTACAAATTTTCAGAAACATCCTTGCAATAGTTTGTGAGAAACGGTCTGCACAAGACCACAAAATAAAAATGAAAAAACACCTGTAAAATTCAAAATAATCATCCAATCAAGATGAAAATAGTGCACACCTTCATACAGTGATTAATACGTGTATAAATTTTCAGACAAATCCTTCCAATAGTTTCTGAGTAATGGTCCGGACAAAATCTCGTCTACAGACAGACAGACAGACGGACATGGTGATTCCAATATACCCCCCTAAACTTCGTTTGCGGGGGATATAAAAATATGGATGACAAAAGCATATTTTAAAAAGTTTTTAAAATGTTACAATTTTTTTTCTTGCTTTAAAACATTCAAATTAAAATTATCAATCAGAAAAGGTTTAACATTCAAATATTGCTTTATTATCAAAGAAAGTTGGTAGACAAATTAATGGGTACGTGGACATTTCAAGTGTACTTATATAAACAGATAAGTCCACAAACAAAATGTAAAAATAGCAAAAATAAGCAATTGGTCAATAAATATTTTCTAAACAAAGGTGGGGGATCTATGAACAGAAACAAATTTGACATATTTTATAACACATAAAAAGCAGTAAAATTATCTGGATTTCATAACAAGGGGCCTATGGACCACAACACTCACCTGAACAAATGTATCCATAACTTTAAGAAGATCGAAGAAATTTAAATTTTACTATTTTAGGGAACTTTTTTTGTAAAAATTTGTCCTATTGTGCCAGTGATTCTTGAGATTTTTAAATGACCTGACCCTATTCATATTATTTCCCCATTATCTCCCCTTGACATTTTTTGGGGCTCTTTATAAGGGTTTTGAAATTCAGCAGAATTGCCACGTAAAATGCAAGTAAAAATAATGACAAGCTCAAAAAAATAATTGATTGTTAAAAGGACATTGATAAACATGTATCACAAGGAAAAGTGTGGCTACAGTTAATGAACTCTGGAGTTGGCTTCACCCAGAAAACTTAAAGTTCAATTATCAAAAATAAAGAAATTGTTGTTGAGATGAAAAGTTAACAGATAGCAATGGACAAATATTGAAAAAAATATCCTTGGGCTGGGGTGAACTTAAAATAATGTTACTTAAAAACAATAATAAATAATTTATACATATACAATGCATATTAAGTAATCAAATAAAGGTGGTATCACATTGCTGGAATGCATGAATCACATAAATGTTGATACAGATCAATATCCCTACAAAACTTTGTACAACAACATTTTGTAACATTTTGACACATCTAACATACAATTTAATTTAAGAGATTGGATTAAAAACCTAGAAAATGGCATAAAAATGAAACTAACTTTATGTGTTAAAAATTGGCACCATTGAATCAGTTTTCTTAGTAATACATGGATTTACAAGTAGAGTCAAACTTCGTTATCTCAGACCTGATGGGACTGAGAAAAATCTTCGAGATATCCAAGGATTTGAGATATCGAAGGTTAAATACTTAAAGAATAGTAGTTGGGACTTCAAAAGCACTTCAAAATATCCATGGTATTCAAGATATCCGAGTTAGAGATACCGAAGTTCAACTGTATATAGTCCACCAGATAAACTGATGTTTATATTTAGCAGAAATTAACAGATTATATATATACATACAAATATTGTATACATGTATTACAAGCTAGATAATGCACATGCATCAGAAGAATTCTACAGTTAACCTTTGGTATCTCAAACTTGATGGGGCTGAGAAATTTGGAGATATTCAAGGATTTCAGATCTCAAGGTTAAGAAACATGATAAAGAAAAAGTGGTTGGTTGGGACTTCTAAATATATACCAGGTAACTTCAACATATTCACAGTACTCAAGGTATCAATGTTTGAGATAACAAGGTTTAAGTGTATTTGGTCTTCAAGCAAATAAGTTTTTGAGCAATCCTCAGATTTATATAAGATGGAATAATGTGAAAGAACTAAGTTCCTGAGATATAGTTACTAAGTACATACCTGGTTAAAAAAAGGTCAATCATTTTGTAATGAAACAAATTAACATTTTGTTGACTTATTAAAATATTTAACCTATAAATGAAAAATGATTTCATTTTGAATGCTGAATACAAACCATTCTTTGGGAATTTTAGTGAGGGTATGACTTTTGGTATATTTAAGTTATTTAAATTTAAGTAGTTTGCTAAAATTTTCATTGCTATATTTACATTTTTACCTCTTCATAAAAGTAAAGATGAAAGGAAATAAAATTTGAATACTGTAAACCAACTATTTTTTTAAAGTCGCCAGTTTTCAATCAGGCCGTGACGTTTAATTTTTGCTACTAAGGAAACATTCTCCACCAATATAAAGCAAATTAAATGGTTTGCTGCAATTAATATTTGTGAGTTATAGTGGATCGCTAAACTCACGAATATTTCTTGTACACAAATAATAGTTGGTTAAAAAGTTAATAGTTTGTTAAAAAACACCCAATACATGGTATCAAAATATGTTTGGTAACAAAATTAAACAATAAATTCTTATGAACAAATGAATTTCATTGCAGTTAGACTAGGTTTCAGATCTAATGAGATAATTAATGGTCCCCCTTGATTGGCCTCTATAACTCGTCCTTGAACCTGAACACTCCATTATCCAGACTCTCCGCGTCTTTAATCAGGCGACTCAGTTCATCCATTATCTGCTGCACTCTCAGCCAATTCTGTCAAAATACAGGAAGTCATGTGACAGGAAGTCAGACTGGGATGTTACAACTATAATGTATTTGTTGCAAAATATTACTTATCACACAACAGAGACAGATTTGTACCTGCTCCTCCACCTTGTCTACTTCTTCCTCGTTGGTGGATCCATCTTTATTTATATCTATCTCCTGGAACATCTACAATCATAATGGGTCTGTGATTGAACATTACACAAACAAACAGACAGACAGACTAAGTGACCCCTATATATTGTACAATAAAACTCAATTTGACTATATTTTACTTTATACATACATGCATTATGCATTTGAATTTGTTTTAAGTACAACAACAGAGGAATGACATGTCTGCACGGTCAGATAGAAATGAAATGAAAAGATTTGGTTTGACATACTTTCTAGATGTGAATTTGTAATCAAAGGTCAAAAGTCACATTATTATCCTTACCTTCCTCATCAAGGAATCATAAGGAATGTTGTTGTTTCCCAAAAATTCAATATCATCCTACAATATAAACATTAATAATGTCATTGTATTATATACATTCACTTCAATGTTCGCAAATAGAGAGAGGAACTTTTCTACATGTTGTACCCAAGAATCCCTGTCTAAAATACCAGGATTATTTTTTTCATCATATTTACTGTTAATAAAAATAATGTTTCATTTTACTGATTGATATGAAATACATCATGATGATACTGTACTGTGGAATCATTTTATTTCATGAGGGTATTATGTTCATGGGAAACAAAATTTTAATTGTTCATGTGGTAAATAATTCAGTAGATTTCTAGATTATACATTAGATTTAATGAATTAATGTTTTCAAAATAAAACCTTCCTGGCGATGTTAATTCCTGAGTAATGGTGACCCACAAAATCCTAGAACATTGGTCCCCCAGGAACAATAATGATTCTACAGTATTCATTGGTTCTTACCCCAATTAAACCTTTTAGAAATGAATTATAATCACATGTTTTTAGTCTTGAAAGAAGAGAGTAAATATGGTCTCTGAAATAAAAAAAGAAAACCATTAAAGTTTACATGCATTGTGTTCAAATGATAAAATTTTAAAGGAAAAAGATAATTATTTTAATAATGATACGTCCCCTTTGTACGTTTCATTGATGGATCAGCCACTGATCTCTCTGATATGCCTAGTGTCTCTTGATTAACAGCAATGGGTTTTCCAAATAAAGGTAAGTGATTCCTGGGTTTCTCTCTAGATTTAATGAATTAATGTTTTAAAAACAAAAAAGTCTCTGTGGAAGTTAATTTGTGAAAAATGGTGACCAATGAAATCCCCCCCCCTCTCTCTCTCTCTCTCTCTTGCCCTCTCTCTCAGTTCAAATACTTAAATTCATTGCTTACTTGATGGCATCAACACTCTCCATGACTTGATCAAATCCCCGGAATTCCGCGGTTTTCAAGGTCAGCTGAAGGTCACACTCTGCGTTACAGGATTCCAGTGATACATCTTTTGGAATGAAATGATTCCACCAGATATTGACTGCCAGGTTACTGTCAAAGGACCGCACCTGGTGAATCCTGAAAATTATCGAACAAAATGTATTAATTCCTCACTTCTAGACATTTCCTGTAATAATATTATCACAACAAATTGATGGAATACAAAGAGAATACCGTAAATCTGGAAAATTTTACGGTGATTTTATTTTGCGAATTCGGGTCAAAATGCTGTTGATTAATTTTTACGTTTGAAAATTTTGCGAATGACCACTGCTTTATTTATATTTTCTTACTGGTGATTTATTTTCAAGAAAAATATTTTTGCGAATGCAATGAACTCGCAAATTTGCTAAAAATTTATCTACAGCAAAAATTTCCAGATTTACGGTATAGCAAATCCTATATATTATAGGCCTTTCAACTAATTTTTCAAGTTGCACATATGGTAAAAAACATTGTATAGATAAATTTATAGGTACATGAAATTATCAAAAAAAAATAACAACTTATGCAAACTTTTAATTACATCATTAAAAAGCTTAATAATTTATAATTGACTTTTCCGATGTTGTGTTTAAGGACAGGTAACTCAGGTGTGAATGATGACCAACTTAGTGCCGATTTATGAGTTATCGTTTATAAGAATGACATATAGGCTGCTTCAGAATGCGTATTGTTATATACACAAAAGGGTTCCTTACATTGTTTTGTACACAAAAAGTTTTGATGCCTTCACTCTACCTGAAATAACAAAATGAATGGGGAACAGACTATATTCAATAGTTTTAACTCTCTTTGACGATTATTATAAAGAAGAAAATTTAATGTCATGTTTTTTTGTTCGCGCTTTTTTGCTTCCTGTGTAAATATATATATTTTTACAAGTAAATGCAACAATTGATCATCTTATTTGTGTTACTAAGCACGAAGGGGAACGACCGAGTATAAAAATTTAAATAGGTTAGAACTGAGAAGGAGGGTAGATTTCACTTTTTATTTTAATTAAAAATTTTAATTATATGCAGTAATCCAGTGTCCGCAACTATACAGTAAATAAGTTTAAAATTGGTGCTAAATTTTAAAACCACTGGATTCCATGAGACCAAAGAAACACTTGTCCTGCCTTGCGTGTCAAAGTTCAAACAAGTTTCAGCAGTTTATCTATGAAGATACATATATTACCAGGTATGTAAAAATCAACTTGTATTTTATATTATAAGCATGTTGTTTTTTTTTCATTATCCAAAGTGATATGATGCTTCTTTGCATGCTACCAAAGATGTAAAAATAAAAACAACATTTTCTTGTTAAATGTCAATATGTGGTCTGTTTTACATACATGTATGTTATTCATGACCATTGTCCTCCTTAAAGTTAAATTGTTTTGATGAAGATACATGTATCAATAAATCTTAGAAATCAAAGTCTTGACATTACCATTTATATGGAATAAAAAGACAATCCCCTGCTGTTAAGTTAATGGTGTAGAATTCCACATCAGCCAAGCCAGGGTACTTTGTGTAGTCAACACTGAAAAGATTATAAGGAGTCTTAACTCTGTAAATTTTACTTTACATACACTGTCTTAAATCATCATTTTCCTTTGTCCCTTTCCTATGCCTCTTTTTCCCTTGTTTCTACAACTCACCTGTAACATTTTACTATTTAACCATTAACAGAGGTTAAATAAATTTATAATTGTCCTAACTCTTTACTATTCTGATATCAGTAAATGAATAGGAAATATGCAATTGTCTGTGAGGTAGAATGTTAAATCATCATTACCTTCCTTGGCAAAATTGGAAATATACCCTTTCCTGTTACAATCAAAACATTCAGTGATAGACCTTTTTCTCCCTTCTTGAAATTGCAGATCGAAACTCACCTCAGCTACGCTACAATCCACACATCGGATGAAATTGTCGAAATTCATTTTCAATCCACCTCAACTACGCTAGTTACTGACTTACCCAGAAGACAAATAATTTCAAATTTGGTACAGTTTGGGGACAAATATTTCATTTCTGCTTGGTAAATATACGTTTGGTTTAGAGGGGGCTTAACAATTTTAAGTTAAGTTGTCACATTTTTCAGTGAGAATAAGTATTAATGCACTCTAATAATCCTAGAAATATTAAACATTACATGTAAGTCATGAACAGAGGTTTATAAATATCTCCTGAAAAATAATCTTTGTCTTCTATCATCTTTCGTCCCTAAAATTATAAGCTAAAACTCGTATTAATGTGAACTTAATCAATATGTATTCGGGAGTTGAAATTAGTTGATTTTTGGATCATGTATATATTCACATCTTAGCTTTGAAAACAGTTCAGGTGGATTGAAAATGAATTTCGATCTGCAATTTCAATCCGATGTTTTCCAAACGTCCGCGTCGAATTGTAGCGTAGCTGAGGTGGATTGAAAATGAATTTCGATCTGCAATTTCAATCCGATGTTTTCCAAACGTCCGCGTCGAGCTTACGCTGTCTATCACTGAATGTTTTGATTGTAACAGACAATGTATATTTCCAATTTTGCCAGTATATATATAAGGAGGTGAAATGTATTGGGACCTCTGCTAGCTGGTAACAGCTTATGGTGAAATGGGGAGGTAATATGTACAGGGACCACTGCTAGATAAAAACAACCATTGAATTGTGAAATGAGAATTAATGTCAAATGTATAGAGACCTTTGCTAGCTAGTAATTAAGAACCAGTGGGGAGGTAGGATGTATAGAGATCTATGACCGTTGGAATAGTATTTTATTGTTTCAGTTTTGATACTGGCTATGGTTTTTCCTTTTTTAAGACCAATAAGAAATGTTGATTTACACCTGTAAGTTATAGGACAGACTTTTATTCAGTAAAACAGACCTACCTTGTCTCCATATTTATCTGGGTCTACCATCACAAACTGCTTGTCTCCTCGATACAGACAATTGATGTTTTCTACAGAATCTGTGTGAACAACAGATTTAGTACCCCCACTACTGAACCACATTATCTATGAACAATAAAAAAAAACAAGGCATGTACATGTAGTTAGATATACAATAACAAACCTCTCTGTACATTGCACAGAAAAAAAATTTGAGAATGCAAAACAAGTAAATGTCTTCACTTTGAAATATCAGTTTGTTATTTAAACCTTTAATTCTTTTTATTGCATTTTCATCTTTGCTAGTACAATGTTATCATTTCCTTCTAAAGTTGGATATGAATTACTTGTTAGAAAATGAATACACAAAAACTTGTACATATTTTTATCTGGAAATTATCTATATAAAACGACATGTTTCTTTCAAATATATGAGCTTCTTTGTTTACTTTTTATCTATTTATACCTTTTTTATTATAATTTATATTTTTTTCTTTTGAAATACCTGTGATACATTTTTGATTGAATTCCATAATATTTGTTGTGCACATTGTGGATTTATTTGAAACTTACATTTTCCACTAGTTTCCCTTCCATTATAAATGGACACTGCATACAACAAGGGACAATGATATCCTGACTGGGTAAAGAAAAAAAAAACAGCAATAAAACATGTCATGACAGTTATTACATTGAGAATATTGTACTAATATCCATAGCATATGTTATATCCGCCTGGATAGCCCCACATGAGTACAAGGGCCAGAGGCTGGCTAAATGTTACATAATGTACATGCATATTTATGATCTGATTCAGAAGAAATAATCTACAACTATCAGAGAATGTCTAATTTAATGCAACACCTTAAAAATAAGATTTAAAATTTGGAATTTTCACATTGAAATTAAAATTTTTTTTAATAATTTTGATCTTAATTATTAATACCAAATGAAAGATGATAACATACCTAATGAATTTTGGTACAGGGTTCACCATGTATATCCCTGAATTATTGTAACTGCCCACAAATTCTGTAAACGGCATATCATGCACATCCTGCTTACGATTTTCCTTCTTTTCAGTTTCCACCGATACAACATGAGTCCTTGGTTCATCAACTTGAAGAAAATAATCATCTGTCCACAATTTGAAAGCTGGGGAAATTTTGGCTGCATTTCTCATAACAAGGGGTCTCTTTGGAAAAACATAATCCCTGAAAAATACATCAGGTGGCGGGAATTTCTCAACTTCATCGCATTTAAGAGTAGAATTTGCATATCCAAATGGTTTTAGATGTCCATTTTCTTTAGTTAAATCTCTTGCATATGATACTGAAGTAAAAACAATAATGAATGTTTCTAGTTTCATTTTCGGTGACAGGGCACGTTGCAAGATGATCATGATCACATAAACGCTTGGTAAACAAAAATAAAATCTCCAACCCCCACAAAAAAGTTTTCAAATTATTGATACTTCTATAAGTTCTTTTTTGTTCATATCATTTTTTAATCATGATTTTGAAGTACCAAAAAATATAATTATTTTGGTATGTCATTAAATTTAAGACAGATGCATTTGGTTTTAGAGTAGCGTCCCTGCTGTTCCATGTGACCACCCCACACTTCCTTTCTGCCATTTTTCTCATTGGATGAACCGCGTGCAGCGTTTTTGAGGACTTTTTGGCCGTACATTTGTTTTCTTTTTACGTTTTGGTAAGTGTTATTATGTTTTTCAAAACCTCAAAGTTCCTTTTCTACAAATGCATTTTACTTTTCATCAATTTGTAATCGCAATACGACATCTTACCCCTTTCGGAAAAAGCACGTTGTCCTGAACTTGGCCTCATTATAAATCAACCCACGCTAATAAGAGAATATCGATTTCTTTGTTCAACCTGTGTTTTCCTTTGTTTGTAAACAATGCAAGTCTTTTGAATATTTTATGCCATTGTTTTTTATAACTAGCAATTAAATCTGCCTTGTACCATGCTCGCTAGAATGTTTGCATTTTTTAAATCTGAGTAATGTATTTGATATGCATGTTAAGATATGACTTCCGGAACAGTGGCGCTAAATATGAAATATCTGTTTCGATTCTAAATATAGTCTTCATAGAACTGACTAGTATAAACAATACGTGGTTACTGAATGTATGATCATATGCTTTTCTTTGCAGGCTTTTTGTAGAATGGAATAAAGGTTTTTCTTGTTTGTATAAGAGCAGAAGAAATAAAATTCAAATTCAACCATGGAAACAAATGGTGTTACTGTAAAAACTGAACCAGAGGTCAAAACGGAAGAACCAACAGAGGAATTTCAAAAATTAACTGAATATGGAATTAACATCAAAGTTGCCAACGAAATTGTCAAAATTTATGAAACGGGTAAGTGAAATTTAATTTTGCAACTTGCAAATTATTTGGTGGGTATTAGTGCAACAGTGATTGTGTTCATTATTAAACATAATACCATGCCAATATATTTTTCAGGAAAGTTGTCACCAGAAGATCTAGATGAAAGGGCAATGGATGCACTGAAGGAGTACAACCCGGATGATGCTATCGCTGTGCTGAAGCAGTTTTGTGAGAGCAGTCTGGAACACGTAGGAAATAAAAGTGCTTTTCTGTGCGGGATGATGAAAACTTACCGCCAGAACAAGAAGCAGGGTGCCCAAGCCTCCCCAGCAAGGGGCCCTGATCCTGCCAAGCTCTCAGTAAGTTATTCCAAGGAGGATGGCATTTAAATGTTTAATTTACATTCCATTTTTTTTTTTTTTACACATTTTACAATTCATTATATGATACTAGAGTTTTGTTTTCATATTGTCTTATAAAATATAAATTATATCTAAATTATGAACAATAAATTGTAGGAAATTTTAGAGAGAACTGGGTATTCGCTGGACGTAACTACAGGACAGAGGAAGTATGGTGGGCCACCTCCAGGCGAGGATGATCAAAACTCACCTCCTCCTGGTTGTGAGGTACTGCTACTAATTTTAATATGTTAATTTTAGCTGATATTGATGTAATACAAGAACATACATGTTAACCTATTGTGATGAAAAAGAGGGAGATTCAGACCTCAAAAGCGGTAGCATTGCGCGCGTGTTGTTTAACGCTTGGATTATCAATATCTTTCATGTAATATACATGTATATTATAAGCCTTAAATGAAATCAGGTACCTACACTAATTAATCTTAAATATCAACAGCAAAGAAGAAGACAGAAACACCTTAAGTTTGACATAAATTGTACAAATTCAAATATTTTTCATGCTCATCATTTTGCTTGGATTGGCTACTTTACATAGCCTTGTGAAGAGTGATCTTTGCTGATTTAGCCTAGAAGCAATAATTCAAAATATTCATTCAGTTTTTAAACAAAACAAATGATAAAATGGTTTCATCTAGATCTAAAACAAGTTCCTATAATCAGATTTCCCGCGATGATCGAAAACGAAAGTAGAGATGTGCAACATGGCTTGGTCAATCGAGTGATTTCTATTGACTTTATTGATAAAGTAGTGAGCTTCTGTGCTTATAAAGACGATGTCAAATGTTTTCATCTAATTCTTAAAAGCTGTGTCTCCTTTTTCATGGCAGGGATGTTGATTAATTTATCGTAACCAATGTAATCACTGGTAGTCTTGTGTTGTTGTCGTTGTCAAATCCGTGCTTGAAATCTAAGTACAAAAAAGCGTTTGTATGATTCCGAGTCAAATCACGCGATATCTAGCGAGATTTTATGAGAGTGGCTTCAAAAATGGATACACAAGGGAACCAAAAATACTTTAGACAAAGCTTTTGTAGAAAAGCGGTAGATTTCTGCATTAAATCGGTAGGCGGGAGATGGAATGAAAAAGAAAATCGGGAGAGTTAACATGTATGCAAGGAAATTGATTAAGATTTGTTTGGAAACAGGGATAGTAAAGAAACAGTACAAAAATTAAATAATTGTTGTTTTATTTAAAGGATATTTAATGTTAAAAGTGGTATTTAAATTTTAGTGTATGTGTACAGGTATGGGAATGATCAGGAAAATGACATTTTGTAGGTGTTCTGTGGGAAAATCCCAAAAGATGTGTTTGAAGATGAGTTGATTCCCTTGTTTGAGAAGTGTGGAAAAATCTGGGATCTCCGCTTGATGATGGACCCACTGACTCAATTCAACAGAGGATACTGCTTCATCACATTCTGTACCAAAGAGGGTGCTGAAGAAGCCACCAAGGTAAGGGAGACAACTCCTTCCTCCCAGGGGAGAGAACTCGTCCATAGCCTCTGATCCAAAGCATTCAGAACTATTTGTTTCTTAAAAAGAAATTTTGAAGGGAAAAAAATTATAAGTTTCTTGATTTGATTTCTGGAGTTAAGGTCAAAATTCTTCAAAATTATTTATTGATTAAACTACCAAAAAAAAAAAATGAAAATGGTCAGACCTTTGTAAAAGACGGATCAAAAACTTGCTTGCCCAGTGAATGCATTGTACCTGATTTTGTTACAGCTTGACAACTATGCAATCAAACCTGGAAAGAACATTAAAGTCAACATCTCTGTAGCTAACCAAAGGTTGTTTGTTGGAAACATCCCTAAGAGCAAAACAAAAGATGAGATAATGGAAGAATTTTCTAAAAAGACAGGTATCTCCAAAGTCAATTTCAAAATGTTTGAAATTTTTGTTTTTGGAATCAAGGTAAGGGACCTTGAAATTTTTCAAATTACACACCAGGAAATTACTGGTGTCAAAAATTTACATTTGATAAAGAAAAAAGTTTGGATCTGTAGTCAGTTGAGTTTTGAAAACAAACTTGGGTTTTAACCCTAGTCCTGAAAAAAAAAAATATCTGAAGATCTGGCACGACTGGGTGGATCTTGCTCCCTTCTGATGAGACCAAGGACTTAGTACCTGAACCTCCCGTCACCATGTTGATTGATTTCTTATGTTCTTCATTTGACTCTTCTTCTTTCTTGATATCTGTTCTGTTCATGACAAAGCACGTAAAACATTTGATTCTTTTAATATTTTTATAAGTTCAACAGTCTTGAAGTTAAAGTATGTCTTAAATTAATGACAGAATTGAAATAAATTTTTCTAAACTGTTTTGTCATGAACAGTATACCACTGTTATTCTAATACTTTGGTAATTCTGGGGTCTCTTTCATTTGACAGAGGGATTGGTTGATGTAATCATCTATAGATCTGCAGAAAAGGAAAACCAAAAGAACCGTGGTTTTGCTTTCTTGGAATATGATTCTCACAAATCTGCTTCCACTGCCAAGAGGAAGCTGTCGACTGGTCGACTAAAGGTGTGGAACTGTGATGTCATAGTAGACTGGGCCGACCCCGTGGACAATCCTGACGAGGCCACCATGTCCAAGGTTTGTTAGAGGTTATTCTGTTAACAACAAAGCTTTAATTTGGACTATAATAAAAAAAATATAAAGTTTATAAAATGTAAAGAACATACTAAATACCATATTGAAACATGTCATCATTTAGTTCGACATCTGCCTCAAACCTCTCAGTCTTTTAAATAATTTGTGATGTTTTATCATAAGAAATATGTTGAATTTAGGTGAAAGTGCTCTATGTAAGGAATCTAACCTCAGAAGTAACTGAAGATATGCTGAAGGAAAAGTTTGGTGAATTCGGTAAAATCGAAAGAGCCAAGAAAGTAAAGGATTATGGCTTCATTCACTTTGAAGATCGTGATGATGCAATCAAAGCAATGGAAGCCATGAATGGCCAGGTAGCTTTTAAATAAATGAAAACATTTGTAAGAAGACATGAAACAATTCATCATTATGAGCAGCTAAGACTGAATTTTGTTTAAATTGGTTCCTTTCATTTTGTAGAAATTAGGCAAACTAGAAATTGAAGTTTCCCTTGCCAAACCACCATCAGAAAACAAAAAGAAAGAACAGAGGAAAAGAGAGCAAGAAAGACAATCCATGATGATGGCCATGAGGAGGGGTGGACCATAGTAAGTACATGATAATCATTAAATGTATATGTTCAGTGGTCAGTACAGAAATTTGACTGTTGTATTCCTGTAGAGAGAACTGTACAATATTATTGATTTAAAAGAATCACAGTATCAGGTATTGTATGGTGAACCACTGCCATGCTGACCGGCCAAACTGTGAAAAATTAACATTCATATGTCTTCTTAAAAAAGAGGTTTTCTTCGAGAATATCTCAATTTACATATGAAGAACATGCCTTTGTTGCTTGACACAAGATTGATACTCATTGAACATGTTAAGTTATCGAGTTCTCTTCATTGCAGTGGTGGATATGATGACTTTTATCAGCCACCAATGATGGGACCCCCAAGAGGAATGCCCAGGGGTGGAGGTGGAGGAGGGGGAGGAATGAGGCCTAGAATGCCCCCACCTCCAAGTAAGTAGTACAAAAC